GGAATAGAAAAAACGTTGAGAATCCGACTTACTGCAATGAGAGACACAGAATGTGACCCCGTCCATGAAAAAAGGGAAAAAAAAGTTGACCGCCTAAACATCCGAATGACTTGCCTGATAACAGATGAAGAGAAAGTTTGTCATTAGGTGGCCAGTCCCATAAAAAATGGAGAACGATCTGGAGGCTGCTGGAGGCGGATGCCACTAAGTGGCTATGTGGGCCGCTAAAATGGCCGAATGTACCACGATAATGGATCGATATGACCAACCCAACGAAAAAAGCAATAAGAGAAAGTTCAGAACCGAGAAAACAGAGACAGTAAATGGATTAAGGTTCTGTTCAGAACCCAAACCAGACCAAGAAGCCCAGGTGGAGAGGTAGCATCGTTGGGTCACTGGGGCCTAAGAGTCCCATAAGAGGTTCCTAGCAACCTGCGCTGGGGTCAGCTGATCCTGGGGTCAGCTGATCCTCCAGGAGCAGAAGGTGTGTGTTCCAATTCGGGTCCATGAAAAGCATTGGGTATGAAGACAGGAGGAGGGGATCCTCACAGGACAGTTCCTGAAGGTCCGGGAACCAGTTCCTGAAGGTTGGCTCCGTCACTGCGGGGTGACCAAGGCCAGTGTTACTCGCTGCACATGAAGGTGATTGAGAACACTGCCGTGCACTCTGGATCTGGCAGCCAACTGAAGAATGCCAGAGTCTGGTGGTTGTTGCAGGACGTGAACAGGTCCAGGTGATATGGGCCTCTTAGAGATGACATGGTGGCGAAAACCTGAGGATCCAGCATCCAATCCCTGCCATGCCTCCAAAGGTGGGAGAACCAATCCGTGGTGAGATTTGTCTCCCTCTCGAGGTATTCCGCCCTCAGGGAGATTCTGCGATAGAGGCAGAAATCGAAGATGACCTTCGTGATTTCTGACAGGAGGTGGGAGCGGGCACCGCCCAGGCGGTTGATATACCAGACTGCTAACACTTTGTCAATCCAGAGAAGGATGCAACAAACGGATTACACCTTCTGCAGGCTGCAGATAGCGAAGGACCCCGATAAGAGTTTCAGGCAGTTGATGTGAATGGAGAGTTCCTGAGTTGTGCACACGCCTTCAGTGGGCGCACTCTCTCAGGTTGCCTCCTCAGCCCCACAGACTGGCATCCGACTCCAGGACGAAGTCCAGTTGGTCACCAAAAATGGTGCAGCCAGTCCAGGCCTGCATGCTGTGCAACCACCATTGGATTCCTCCTTGCACCTCCTTGCATGGCCCGGGAAGATAGTCTGGATGGAGGAAAGTAGCCCACTATCTGGTGAGTGTGCGGAAGGAGGGGCCGGTGTTGCAACAGAGGATCTTACAAATTTCCTTGTGGAGAGTGTAGACCTTAAGGGTAGCTTCAGGGTGCAAGACGCGGAATATATTTTTAATCCTTAGAATTGGACCGTCCAGGATGGGGCCATCGCAGACTTCTGTCGATTCACTATGAAACCCAACAATTCCAGCAGGACCACGGAGAATTGTAGCATCCCCCTGGCCCGTATGTGAGCGATCATCGGTTTCAGTATTTTTGTGAAACACCAAGTAGCCGAGTTGAGGAGGCTGGTGAATTGCCAAGGTTGACCGCACCACAAGAAAGCAGACTCGGGTCCAGACTCACAAACCAGTTCCCTACTTGAAGAAGATTCCTTAAGTTTGAATTCCTTCCATCTTGAAGTGACGGTATCTCATGTGGGCTTTGTAGAAAGCACAGTTGGTGATACCATAGGGACGCTTACCTGAGTTAAAACGTGATGTAGCACATCTGCTCGTTCCGTGTCCTCCATTTGATCACCTAGAGTACCAGAATGGTTGTCTTCCACCCACTTCCAGATAAAAATGTTTATGGTTGTGAGGTACAGGGGTGACATGGCCCCACTGTGGACCAGCCTCCCCCTCCCAAAAAAAAAACTATTACCGCTGCCCATTCAACTTCCCGAACCAGAAGGAGAACGGCATTCGGGAGACCTAAACTACCGAACAAGGGGAACGTTCGTATGCTAGCAGCCAGGGAGAGCCTTCATCAGCATTCATTCAAGAACTCCTGAAAGAAGACCAGTCAAAGCCTAAAATCCTCTAGAACTATTATTGGGGCTTCACCTTGTGGTCGACCGGTCTACGCTAGTAATCTACACTCGAATGGCATTCCTAATCAACCGATGAGTGATATTTTGACAAAGTGGGCACTCAGATCCCTGCTATTCTGTGAACTAACTTTCATGGAGTTCAGAGATATTAAAATATGTTTTATGTGGTTTTACAATATTGTATTTTTTCTGTACCTGGGAGATAATGTAATTAAAGAGTTGTTCTTACTCAATTATCTCCCGGGCACAAAGGAAGAGACTGTGAACTGTTGCTTTGTCCCTTGTCCCCATTCAGGTCCGCCAGGGGAAAACCCCTGGAATGTAATTTAAGAAACCCCTTACATTGGAGTTGCACAAAAGCCAGCTGTGGCTGAATAAAAAACAGTTGACTCCCAGAACTGTGTGTCGTCCAGTTACCGGGGGGATTGTGCCTTGGATATCGTATTTCTTCCTCAGCTACAAGTACTCTAAAGCGGAGTCCAACAGCCGTCCTGTTCGAGAGTTACAAAATGCACGAAAAGGTGAACGGTTCCCCTGGCTCATTGGTAGCGAGGTCCATACGAACAAACCTACTGAACAGCGCTCTTCTGGCTTGCCTGAAAGGAAGCAGGTTTTCACAAGTCCGCCTCGGAGGTCCAGACACTCGACGACCCAGTCCCGCTGCCTGCTTTCGTGCAAGATGGCCACCGTTTTTTTCCACCAAGTGTCATTCGGTCATACAAATGGCAGCCACACAGAGAGAGCGGTTTCTTTGTACTTAATGAGCCAAGGGGGTGGTCGGTGTTTGGTAATTTATAATACTGAATATGAGGAAGGCAGAAAACAAAGTTTAAAACAGGGTTCCTGAACTGAGAAGGAGAACAGCTCCTGGTAAGGCAAAATGAAAGCAAAAATAGGGGTTTTGTCACAGTCTAATCCTTTCCAGCTGGTTGTGCTGATCACCCCCAGGTCACAGGCCGAGAGATCTCTCTTCCAGAAAGGCCTGGACGTGCCAGACAGCTGGCATTGTGAGATTACGGATTTAAAAGATGGTGGTCCATCTCCAGGACCAGGGCTGATTTCTTGGCTCCATGTGTTTATAATTCCATTAAAAGCATTGTGGTATCCAAGAAAGCATGGCATATACATAATATGTGAGGTTTTCATTGGCGAGACTGGGGGGGTGAATGGAAAGAGGGCACACCCACACTCAGGCGCCCAATATGTTTGAGTGTCTCCCACCATGCTACCAATAGCCAGCTTCAACTCCAGCCTCTCCCATTGACATCACCTCTCTGAGGCTTGTATAGCCCCCGGGGGGCCAAGGAGAGAGAGCAGCCAAGTGGAATCCAGCAGAAGCAGTGATGGCTTCTTGTAACATCTGCTTCCTATCACCGGACTGTGCAAGGCCAACGTCCACTCTGTGTGCGCTCTGAGCTGAGATCTAGAAACTAGCAAATGCTGGGGGGACAGCTCCACGCAAAGGGACACATCGTAACTCTCACTTAGAGTACCAGGAATGTAACAACACTTACTGCCTGCTAAATCCTATAAAATAACTATACATCACACTCCCTGTTTGATAAATATGTCCCATAAGTTAAAAACAATCTATTCTATTGTAAAATCTGCAGACAATCCTTCTTAGTATAGTGGTAAGTATCCCTGCCGGTCACAGCCTGGGGTTCATTCCCTGATGGCTTGGCTTTGTTTTTTTAGATTTAGATTAGCTCTTTACCTCCTGTTTCCATATTTCAAACGATTTTTTTTATAATTAATTTTTTGTCTTGTTTTACCCATTGTACAGCACCGCAGAATATGTTGGCGCTACATAAATAATTGTAAAATAAACAGTATGGATATTATATATATATATATGTATTTACAATTATTTATGTAGCGCCAACATATTCTGCATTGTGTGTGTGTGTGTATGTGTGATGGGGTACATTGGCGTTGTTGTAGGGTTATGGAATGTATGATCATATACTGTAACTAACCCCCATTATTTTTGCATTAATAACTTTAATTTTTCTAAATTTTGCACTCTTAGAAGTTGCTGTTTAGTGAATAACTTGTATGAATTGGCTTCAGCAGCACCCTATAATGTATGCATGTTACGCTGAGAAAATATGCAAATATATATATTTATAAACACACATAATATGCAACAGTATTATTCTAAAAAATAATAAATGATAGAATTGTTGATATTTGCCATCAGTTGGGGATTAATGCGAGAAGTCCCTTGTTTCCAGCCAAGGATTAAGGGATATGTAGTTCAGCCTTTGGTAACCGTAGTAATATCGAATTAGCTGGAAGACAGAAAGCATATTGTAATTATGGAGGGATGGGAGAATAGAGTCACCTTCTCGTACGATTCATAATCTGTCCACGTTACACACGGATCCCACATGAGGTGTTACTGTGAAATCGAGAGTCACTTCCCTCTGAGGCTGCTAAATCCTATTTCATAACATGTAAAGCCTGGAGACTGAGCACGTTCTGTGTAATATTTCACTTTCTGTGCTGACTCATCTGTTATGGTTTGTTGAACGAACCGTCAGGAATTTCCCATTAATGAACTCCGTAACCCTCATTCAGGGCTTATGTACTAAACTCAGAGTTCTCTATGAGAAGAAGAATGACCACAATAGATAAACGACCAGAAATAGAGCCGTCAGGGCATTAACTACGTTACATAAATACGTTAAAATGGCTCCAGTCAATCATAGCGGCCATTGGTCAGGGACCCTGAGCTCTAGTAACGGGCCTGTTAGGATCTTTCTATGGAGATCTCCATCATTTAATAAAAAGTTGTTCCCCCATCCCATGTTTCCTCTTTTTCACTGCCATTGTTCCTGTATATGGCGATGGTATTCTTCACTGGCATTGTTCCTGTATACGGCGATGGTATTCTTCACTGGCATTGTTCCTGTATATGGCGATGGTATTCTTCACTGGCATTGTTCCTGTATATGGCGATGGTATTCTTCACTGGCATTGTTCCTGTATATGGCGATGGTATTCTTCACTGGCATTGTTCCTGTATACGGCGATGGTATTCTTCACTGGCATTGTTCCTGTATACGGCGATGGTATTCTTCACTGGCATTGTTCCTGTATATGGCGATGGTATTCTTCACTGGCATTGTTCCTGTATACGGCGATGGTATTCTTCACTGGCATTGTTCCTGTATATGGCGATGGTATTCTTCACTGGCATTGTTCCTGTATATGGCGATGGTATTCTTCACTGGCATTGTTCCTGTATATGGCGATGATATTCTTCACTGGCATTGTTCCTGTATAAGGCAATGGTATTCTTCACTGCCATTGTTCCTGTATACGGCGATGGTATTCTTCACTGGCATTGTTCCTGTATACAGCAATGTTATTCTTCACTGCTATTGTTCCTGTATACGGCGATGGCATTCTGCACTGGCATTGTTCCTGTATACGGCGATGGTATTCTTCACTGGCATTGTTCCTGTATACGGCGATGGTATTCTTCACTGACATTGTTCCTGTATACGGCGATGGTATTCTTCACTGGCATTGTTCCTGTATACGGCGATGGTATTCTTCACTGGCATTGTTCCTGTATATGGCGATGGTATTCTTCACTGGCATTGTTCCTGTATATGGCGATGGTATTCTTCACTGGCATTGTTCCTGTATATGGCGATGGTATTCTTCACTGGCATTGTTCCTGTATATGGCGATGGTATTCTTCACTGGCATTGTTCCTGTATATGGCGATGATATTCTTCACTGGCATTGTTCCTGTATAAGGCAATGGTATTCTTCACTGCCATTGTTCCTGTATACGGCGATGGTATTCTTCACTGGCATTGTTCCTGTATACAGCAATGTTATTCTTCACTGCTATTGTTCCTGTATACGGCGATGGCATTCTGCACTGGCATTGTTCCTGTATACGGCGATGGTATTCTTCACTGGCATTGTTCCTGTATACGGCGATGGTATTCTTCACTGACATTGTTCCTGTATACGGCGATGGTATTCTTCACTGGCATTGTTCCTGTATATGCCGATTGTATTCTTCACTGGCATTGTTCCTGTATATGGCGATGGTATTCTTCACTGGCATTGTTCCTGTATATGGCGATGGTATTCTTCACTGGCATTGTTCCTGTATATGGCGATGGTATTCTTCACTGGCATTGTTCCTGTATATGGCAATGATATTCTTCACTGGCATTGTTCCTGTATAAGGCAATGGTATTCTTCACTGCCATTGTTCCTGTATACGGCGATGGTATTCTTCACTGGCATTGTTCCTGTATACAGCGATGTTATTCTTCACTGCTATTGTTCCTGTATACAGCGATGGCATTCTGCACTGGCATTGTTCCTGTATACAGTGATGTTATTCTTCACTGACATTGTTCCTGTATATGGCGATGTTATTCTTCACTGGCATTGTACCTGTATACGGTGATGTTATTCTTCACTGGCATTGTTCCTGTATGTGGTGATGTTATTCTTCACTGGCATTGTTCCTGTATACGGCTATGGTATTCTTCACTGGCATTGTTCCTGTATACAGTGATGTTATTCTTCACTGACATTGTTCCTGTATATGGCGATGTTATTCTTCACTGGCATTGTTCCTGTATGTGGTGATGCTATTCTTCACTGGTATTGTTCCTGTATATGGCGATGATATTCTTCACTGGCATTGTTCCTGTATACGGTGATGGTATTCTTCACTGGCATTGTTCCTGTGGCAAACCTAGCCGAACAAACCATCAGTTAATAGCCCTCACACTTAGAGGCGTGTGACGCCTATTAACCGATTGCAACAATGTTGCAATCGGTAATTAGAGGCTCTCCAAGGTGGCCGTCGTTCGACTACCGACCATGCGGCGGTCGGCCATCTTGGATCCTTTGTTCCCTCAGCGGTGTATGGTCGTCGAGCGTATGGTACTAAAAACGGCTAATCGACGGCACGAACACCGCTGAGCTTCCAGGCCGTTCGGGAGGTCCGGGACATTCGGTATTCTGTTCCCTTATATACAATCGGTATTTTGAAGATATGTTTTAATGAATGTGTTTTTCGTGCAGCGTTCGGTTGTTTTAGCTGGGATCTGAGCGGTAATCTCACGAATGATGCGCTCAGACCCCAGCTATCTACCGAACGTCCATTCGTTTAAATGGACCAGATATTCATAAAGTTATGCAATTTTATACGAATTGTAAGTTCTGCTGCACGGAGGGATAATCCACTTAACGGCACATTCCTGTGGGAGGATCCCTCTCGTGCAGCAGTGCCTGATGGGAGAAATGTCCTGTACAATAAGTCCCCCATGAAGTCCCCTCTGGGAATGCCCCTGGGAGGGGACTCAGGAAACCCCTTGCATGGGGGCTTGTATAAATTGTGGAGCTGAATTAAAAGACCTCAGTTGACTCCCAGCCTATGTGTCGTCTAGTTCTTGGGAAGGAAGGGTTACTGCAGTGCTGTTTGGATTATTGTATGCTGATTCCCTGGATTATCCAAGGGACCGCAGTGCTGGAAAGAGGTGAAAGAGGATTTTAACCCTATAACTGTGGGGGAGGGGGCCACACGAGGGTTGACAGTTTTGCATTCCTAACACTATATAGTTTCTTTAATAAAGTTTAATAAAGTGAGAAAACATATTTTATAGCTGCACATTTATTCATTATATTTCCCTCGTTGGGTCTCATACTAATTTAAAACCTGCTTCCGGCTTCGTGACTTACTCACTGCTCTGCAATGCCTGGTATTTGTAATCCACATGTTGTTGTTTTGAAGACAAAGACTGACAAACACAAAAATCTCATTCCAATTTCACAAAAGGACTAAAATATGGGGCTATCGTACACATTTAATGCTTGAGGCACTTCCTCGTAGATGGCGGCTGAAGAGGTACGACCTACTTGTATATCTGTAAGTATTCCCGGGTATCATTGCTTCCGATATGGCCTTTTATTTGGCTTCCACTTCTCCAAGGAATAATTAAAGAAGACATTAAACTTTTACAGATACATTTACACAATAATGGACGCTGGAGAAAGGACAGCATAATTTCAATCTAAAACCGAATGAATCGTTGAAAAGCACAATGACTTTGTGGACCAACATTTGCATATTGCTGAAGAACCCAAGACTTTGAGGTCAATACATCCACTATTGATCAGTCAATGCAAACACTTAGGGTCTGCTCTCCAGGGGCCCACTGCTCCTCATGAAGTGCTGGTTTCAGAGTAAATTCATTCATTGCAGTAATACGGGGTAAATCCTCTCACAGACTGAAACAGACCTTTTCTTGCAGTTAACGTTTCTTGTGGCAGGGTGTATTATGGAGAGGTGACACCTCTGAAACAAGGGAAAATATAATGGATAAATGTGCAGCTACAAAGGATGTTTTGTCACGGCAAACTTTATTAAGAATGTGTCAAACCAGCAATAGTTCCACTAGTAATGATGTCCGTCAGCAGTAATCAATTGTTACATGTAGCAGAACCCCTTTTTGGCTGTCCCATTCCTTTCATTTATTGTTGGCACTGCAGAGATTTTCCTGTGCCTGAGGTACACAAAATTCCATATAACTAGATGTGGCCATACTTTGTTCGGTATGAGAATACCAGCTTACATGTGAACAACTAAATTCACCATACGAACAAAGTACCGAATGAACCGGACCACCCTGATGTGAAGAAGTGATATAATTTACCTCCCTGACTGTTTTTCATATTCCCTGTACGCACGAACACACCGCTATAATCCCTGGGTGATCGGCCTTTCGGCAGCCGAACACGTGGCGGCAGCCATTTTAAATCCACGAACAGTGGTGTTTGGTCGTGAGTGTCTGGAACTCAAAACGGACACCGCCAAGACCTCCAGGGCTTCAGAATACACGGATGGAAACCCACGAACGGCCCGGCATTCGGTAGGATGAATCCCACGAACTAGGGGTTCATCCAGTTACCGAATGCACTATGGATGGTGTAACGGACCGTTTTGCACACAAGGGGTAAAAACTGTTTAAGCGATCGTCCCCTTTTCAGAGATGCAGGCACAGCTATTGTAAAACACCAAACTCACGAACCGCCAATAAGGGAATGCTCCAAACTCCCGAACGGCATCCAATATAACACTCCAAACACACGAACTGGAACCATACGAATCACTGCTAGCAGACGAATAGGAAAAGCATCCAAGCGGCTTACACTCCTAGCAATCAGTCTCTATCAGCATTCAGTAAATCCCCCCAAAGACGAGACAAGGCTCCGTGTTGAGGGTCAAGCAGTGGTCTGTTTAATGAGGGCTACCTGCCCAGTATTTATGCAGGTCTCCCAACTGGTGGACACTCCCCTAGGGGACCAAGTGGGAGACTGTGACAAAAGACAGACAAGTTGACAAATAGGACACACAGTAACTGTGGCGAAACCGGCCTCGCCACGTGTCTTTGGAGGGGGCTGCTTGCCCGCCTCTTGCCTTTGGACTATGGACCAGACTTTATGAGAATGTGTTAACCCAGATAGCTATGCCATGGAGCCCATTTGTGTAGTTAAAGACTTCGGCTCCATAGCAATTGAACTGTGTGAATAGGATCTGAACGCTCTTCAGTAGTTTTGTGCGCTTAGATCCCAGCTATCTGGGGATATGTGAAATGTCTGTGTGTTATGTGAAAAGGTTACTTTATGTATTTTAAAGTGTTTTGTGTCTTTTTGCAACCATGTGCTTAATGGAGTCTTGTGTCTGTCCTGGGAGATAATTGAATTACTCTCCAGGATAGAAGACTCTGAAACTGGTTTGGGCCAGAAAGCCATGCTTCATTTAGTCACAAAGGACTTTTTACTAACTTTTGAACCCCTTGTCTGATTTGTGCCATTTTTTAATATGTTGTTCCCCTGAATGGATTGATTGCGAATATGTAATTTTATGTGAATGTGATGTATGGTTTTAGAGTTATGAAAGTTGGGTAGAAAGTATGTTTTAACTGTATGTGTAATTGAGTTTCCTCTCAGGATAAGGGGAGGGAATATGTGGGATGTAACTGATATGTGATTGGTTGTTTTGTAACGCCCTGTGGGCTGTACTATGTTTGTGGATTGGGAATAAAAGAGACTGTATGTGACAGTACAGGGAGTTCCTGTTTTAACCCTCAAAGTGAAGTACTTAAAAATAATAAGGTGCGCTGTGTCTTTAAGACCCAAAAATATATAAAGTGCAACTAAGTGCAAACAAATTGATAAAGTGCAAAGTGATACAAAGTGCACTTAAAGTGTAGAATATCAGTATAAAATATTATACATACATATGGCCTCTCAACTCCAAATATACATAGAAAGGAAAAGAGACATAAAAAAACCAATAGCGTGAAACCGTATTAAAATGGTAGTATGGATAATAAATGCCAAATATTGCACTCACAAAAGTAGAGCAGAATAAGCCTGCTCTAGCTTTAACAGCTTCTTCAAATGTAGGACTGCACAGACGAAAAAATATTCCAAAATCTTTATTGCCC